GGCCACTCTTGGGTCGGGCTGGGTCAGTTCCATGGTGCTTCGGTTGTAAGGAAAGCTGAGAGGCTTGAGTGCCTTGAACAAGATTTCTCTTTTTCTGCATCTGAACTTCCTGTTGCAGAGTTCTTTGCTGATGAACATTATGGGGCTGAGAGTGGACAGAGCCCTCTGCATGAGGGACATGATGTTGCAGCTGATACAAGTGATGTCTCTCTCTTAACTGTCCCACTTGCTGCTGCTGCTTTAAGTAGAGATGGTTACTATGGAGGTGAGATACCCCTTGAGCTGGAACATGTTGCTGTAGGGCCTGGAGATGTTGGCTGGCCTGGGTTTGCTGCTGCTCGGCCACAGAAGGCTGGGAACCACACTGAACTTCAGTCTGCCTTAATGCAGGGCTCACAAAGTTGTTAGCAGGAGGAAATAATCTCGTAAGGCCATCTCCATGTGTGGGATTGCTTACAGGCACAATGGAATTGGAAGAGCTGGGAGGGATCTGACTGACCATTATTTGAGTCTGATCAGAAATATTGTCTGGAGTTCGGCTCATCATGGACATATTTTCAAGTCTGAGTGGAGCTGGCTGACACTGCTTCTGACGTTTCGCAGAGGAAAGCAAAAGGTCGTCCTGGACAGCACGCTTAGCAGACTCTTTCCGGCTTTCGTGACTTGGCTTTAAGAGTGGTTCCTGAATCTGTGGATTTGGGATGTTACTGGTCATAGGATTTAGCTGTTCTTGGGCATAGTCGGTCATCAGGGATGGCCCAGGAGGCTGATTGCCGTAAGAGTCAGATAAGACACTCTGATTAACTGTTGAAGGAACAGTGGTTTGCTCTGAAGACTGGGATAAGCCCGCACAACTGACCAGTGGATGGGTGATGCCACTCTGATGGATAAGATTATTCACACTTAAACTGGTGATACTTGGTGGCTGAGAAGGTGAAACCTGTAATGAGGCATTTGATGTTTGAATTCCTATGGAGCAACTTGGTTTTTCAAGGGGCTGATCCACAGTTGTGTCAATTGAATCCTGAGAATTAAACTCATTTGGTACTGCTTCTGCCTGTCCTGTGCCATTCTCTTTAGGTATCTGCGTTTTGAACTGATCACCCTCTAAAGAAGATGTTTCAGAAGGCTTTGAAGGAACTTCCCTTCCATCAGCCTGGATGCCAACTCTTCCTTTCTCAAGGTTCTCCTGGTCAAAAATAGCTCTTGCTGCCAGAGCTACTATATCAGTTTGCTCTCCGAAGGTACAGCTGTCACATGTATTAGTTGATGCACTGCTTGTCACGTCCTCTCTGGTTGTTTCAGGAAGCATGGATGCCACTGAGAAACTGCGACTACTCCCAGAGCTGGTTGACATGGGGGAGTCGGCCTGGCGACTAGTGAGCAAAGAGCCATTAATCACCTCCTGATCAGGGATGCAGGAATGATGCTGTGGTGGATCTTGACCATCACTATTCAACAGTAATAGTTCCTGTTTGGGATTCAAGTCCACACTTGGGTCTACTATTTTAGCATTTTCAGGTGAAAAGTCAGGATGGTCCACATGGACTGAAAGAGATGTTTTCTGAGGATCTTTTTCTTTAGCAAGATTAGACAGCAAGGAAGTTAAGCCTTGCCCTTTTAAGAGACCAGTGGTTTGCATTGTATCAGATGACTCTGGCTCAGTCCTACAAGGTTCAGCAATGATTTCAACCTCAGAAACACAGTCAGTGCTTGTAGTGTTTGTGGCAGATGGGAGACCAGAAACCTGAGAAACTAAAATGTGGGGATCGTTTGGAGATGGAATCAACACGTTGGTTGAAGTGCAGGACTTGACCGCATCTAATGATGCCACACTAGCTGGTGGCTTATCCTGAGGTGTCTCTTGTTGCAAAACAGGGGTGGATTCTTTGGATTTTGCTGGGACCTTTGCAAAATGTTCACTTGCTATGGGCTCTTGTGAGGGAGAGGGAGATTCTTCGGTTGACTTACATTTGGATACAGACTCAGAATTCTGAACTTCCAAAGAATGCAAACCTGACACGTTTACACTGTCTGCTTGGGACACAGCAACAGATGGTAAGACAACAGGGAGGTTATCCAGCAGTGTGTCATTACAGGATGGCTCGGTGGCCCCTTCCGTGATAGGGCAGTCCAGTTTCCCCACATCTCTGCCTGCACTCAGAGGGCAGGATGACTTGTTAGCTGTTAAATGTTTCTTGACACCTGGCTTCTTATTCAACCTTTTGGACTTCACATTAGGTGGCAAACAAGCTACAGTGTTCGCTGAGGGAGTAGTCACTAGATTATATGTATTAGGTAGTGTGGCTAAATGATCTGTTGTCGTGGGAGGTGCTACAGTAGTTGTTAAGGAAACACAGTTAGCTGAGGTGCTTTGACTACTTGCAACAGTTTGAGGATTGGCAGGCTGGCTAATAGACAACTGCACACAGCTTTGCCCAGCCATTTGTGATATGCTTTGATTGAGGCTGGCCAAAGCACCAAATGTATTCAGGGCAACGTTGGTATTTGGATCTTCGCTGGTGGTGGGTTGAATAATTTGCATAGGGGTTTGATTTGTAGTTCCTGATGACGACATCACAGGCTGCAAAGCAAAGAGCTGTCCATTTAATGAAATGGTTTGAGGCTGCTGTTGGTTTGACATGGTAACAG